AGTTGTTATTTTTATTCCTCACCCCCAGAGACAAATTGTACATATGGGAACTAGTTCGGACTTCATAGAGAAGACTTTAAAGTATTATGGTGGCTCTAGTAAGAATGGTAAGTAAAAGTGTGTTTTTTAGCGTAAGGAATACTGTGGTATGTTTGGGTCACTACCCGCTGTAGTTGAAGATAAGACACAGATTAAAGACCAGCCTTCACCACCTCACTTTTTGGCCTTGTACCACATTTTTGTATTGTCAAAGCAAAAATTACTCTACGGTACTTAGATTTATGAATTTTAAATCCAGTAATAGATTAGCAGCAAGATCTCATCATGTTATACTTGAAACGGCTAGATTGAACCGTAAGTTCTATGCCAGCAGTTTCTTCTATCGTACTTCTCGCTTGTGGAACTCACATCCGTCTTCTTGGTTCTCAATCAATTTTGATCTTCAAAAATTTAAATTCAATGCCAATCGTTATCATCTGTTTTCTTAATTCTTGTTCTTTTATTAGTCTCTCTCCTTAATAATGTTTATATTTTTTTTTTCATATTTTCTAATATTCCCTCCTCGTGTCTTAATGTCTTTACTGTCGTGTTTGAGGTGAAATTATTTCAGAAAAAAAAGCTTGTATCAAATCACGTTGAAAAGCGAGAATTACTAGTAATTCCTTTAAGTAAAAACTAGTCCTTCTAATCAATGCAACTGCAAAAGGAGAACAACAATGGCAACGTTGACAGTTCAAAAAGAGGACGAAATTTTAGGAATTCGTGAAAGAAAATTTTCTTCTCTAATTCCGAACATTTCATCACTGTTTTTATTATTATTGTTTAAACATTCTCAGCTGACATGAAGGGGAAAGACTAAATTGAATCCATTGCTAAGTCCTGTTCACTGTGCCGTGCAAGACAATTTTTCTCTCCAGAAACTATCTTACATATCTATAAGTCTACCATTCGTCCATACTTAGACTATTGCACATATGGTTTGGTGTCTCTGTTTTTTACCTTGTGTTCTTTGATAAAATCCAAAGAAGAATCAGTAACATTAATGGTCCTGATTTAGTGGCTCGGTTTCAAGCACTGCCGTAAAGTTGCCTCCCTGTGTCTTTTCTATAAATACTTTCATTGTAATTGTTTGGATGAGCTCTTTGCTTTGGTACCTAGACTTTTTGAATTTAAGCGCAGTAATAACGTCGAGATCTCAACAATTTACAGTTGAGCTGGCAAGATGTAACCTTAAATTCTATGCTAACAGGTTCTTTTCTCGCACTTCTCGCTCGTGTAACTCCAATGATTCCTACAAACTCTAATCTGCAAAAATTTAAATGCAATGTCAATCTACTGTTCTCCTGATTACTCTTTCCTCTTCCCGCTCATTATTAATGTTTCTGTTCCTAATTCTTTCACTGAAACTCCTTTTGTCTTTACTGCCATGCCTGGGGTGATACTGAATAAAAAAATCTAACCTAACTAAATTTAAATTGTCTCCAAGATAAACACTATCTCGTGTAAAATTATTAATTTACATCATTGATAAAATGTCGTTCGTTCTGTCAACCTAAATCATATTAAATAAATAAATAAAAAATTAGCAACTTTTTGAATGATTCATCTGCTTAAGATTACTTTCGTCTGTTTACGACAGTCGTAATCGATCGTGGTCTATTCAATACGCCTTGATTGGTTTCTAACAACGCCATTCGGTCAGCTCAGGCGACGAGAAAACTCTTTATACTATCTTCCGGGAAGTCGAAAGAGCTAATGTAAAATTGTTGAAAATATGGCTATCACCATAAACATCAGGAAAAGATTAAATTAAACTTATTTTTTCTCTTAAATTCCTCACACTTGAACATAACAACAACAGCTATACAGACTTGCGCGTGGTGTAGAGATTATTGGCGGTGAAACGACGTGCCAGGTTCAACTTCCGGTCGAGTTTGTTGCAATCTCATTGGCCAAATATGAACCCACCTCTTATTCTCCCAAGCTACGGACTAAATGTCAGGATAGATTCGTTTTGAAGAAGAAGGGGAAAAATACTGAAATCAAAACCAGTTCGACGTGGAGCTGATAACTTAGTCCCTTTCCTGCCGGCGCAACGTAGATTCCCCCGTGCCTTTTCTGTAAATATTTTCATGGCTATTATTCGGACGAGCTTCAATTTTTGGCATCTCGTCTTCATGAATTTAAGATCGGCTCTAGATTGGCTTACGGCTCCATCACGTCGAACTACCAGTTCGTTGAATTTGGTCAGTACCTTGATGGGTAACCCCTTGGGAATACCAAGTGCTGTAAGCATGAATAATAATAATAATAATAATAAGAAGAAGAAGAAGAAGAAGAAGAAGACATCATCAGCAGCAGAAGAAGAAACATTAGCATCAACAACATTATCAGCATCAATAACATCATTAACAGGAGCATCAACAACTCCAACAACAGCAGCAGCAGCATCAACAGCACCATCAGCATCAATAACATCAACAACAGGAACATCACCTACACCATCAACATCAGCAGCAGCATCAACATCATCATCAACATCATCATCAACAGGAGCACCACCAACATCAACAACATCAGCAGCAGCATCAACAACACCATCAGCATCAACGCAGCATCAATAACACCATCAGCATCAACAATATAATCAACAGGAGCATCAAGAACATCATCAGCAGCATCAACAGCAATATCATTATTAGAGGAATTCTAATAGCAGACAACAATCTCTTAAGTACGAAAATCTGTGAAGTGTTATAACTGACTATGAAAAATGTGACATGAAGCTTTAAAAGTACATCAGAAGATTGAAGGATGCCTTCCAAAAAGTAAATAAAGTATTCAGAAACTGAAAGATTTCGTTAAAGACAAACACTACTGATCAGCTATGTAATATCAATCCTCTGAGAGGAAATGCTGGATAATTTACATCGCAGATGAAGAAGAGATTTTAATTGTGATTCTACAGAAGGATGCTGAGTATACCATGAACAGAGCATGTGAGCAACGAGAAAGTTTTAAGGACAAAATGGGAACGAAAATGACACTTAAAATCAAAAAGAGATTGCTGTAATTTCTTGGACACTTAATGATTCCTACAAACTCTAATCTGCAAAAATTTAAATGCAATGTCAATCTACTGTTCTTCTGATTACTCTTTCCTCTTCCCGCTCATTAGGAAGGAAAGAAGGCTTCGATAATATGATACTTGCAGGGCGTGTTCATAGAGAAGATATTAAATGTGATCTATTTATTGAATTATTTATGATGGCTATTTTGTGTCTACTTCAGCATTTGTGAGAATACTTAAGCAAATTTGGATTTGTTTCTTTTTTTATTAAAGAATTCACGAATTCACCCCACTTATATAGTAACAAACCACCCTCACTTCCTCCGTATTCCATCGGTGAGAAGTAAGTTCCACATCAAATATCTTCTTCTCGCGAACCACTGCCATATGGAACAGACTCCTAAGAGGATGTTTCCCCGATCGCTACAGTCTTAACCTGTTCAAGTCTAGAGTCAACCGTTATCTTCTCCTCTATCCATATAAAACTACTCGTGACTGTAAAAAAAATAGTTTGTTTATTTACAAAAATAGATTTTTTTATTATTCTAATAAATAAAAATATATTTTGTTGTCAGTTGTTAAGAATAAAAAGAATGTATAAATTTACTTTGATATATTTCGGTTTTATTCCAATTCTAATCATAACTTTTTAAAACAATAAACATTACAGAAGAGCGAAGTTAGTAAAAAATCCGGTGTCATGGGAAAAACAGTCCTTTTGACATTCCATTTTATTGTGGCTACGTTTATCCAAGTTTGTCGTAAGTAAAACAACTTTTCAAACCGTGGTCGATATTACCTTGTATGTAGAACACAAACTGAGTATCAAGAAGCGTGAGAAATTGTACATAAAAATTACCAAGTCATCGCATAAGCTGGAAAGGCCTGGAAAATGAAGGTTACCGTCGAGCGCATAATAGTATGAACACTTGTAAACCTGACAAAAACATTGGAATCTTAATTAAATGGATTTCCGAGACAGAATTGAAACCATCAAGATCACGATATTCTTGATGTCTGCGGCGGTGCTCAGAAGGATGCTTAGAAACTAGAAAGGAACGTCTATCTATATTTTCATGACAACTGCTCAGACAAGGTACTTTCACTGGTACCCCAACTGCATGAATTTAAGCGTGCTACTAGGTTGGCATCTCGGTCCCACCCTTTCACTGTCAAAACAGTTAAATGTAACCGTTACTTCTATTCCAACAGCTTCTTCTCTCGCACTTCCCGACAGTGTAACTCCCTTCCTCTTACTTGCTTCCCCGATAGCTATAATCTTCAGATAATGTCAATCGATATCTTCTAATGCTTTGATCTTGATCCCGCCCTTCTCTTTATCCTTTCCTCAAACAACCCTCTTTACTCTTACTCTCACTCTTTGTAACCCCTTACCTGATAGTGGCACTTCCGCATTGCTTGGGGTGAAATGACTAAAAAAATTGATTGTTCTAATTCGATTCTATATCGACTTTTATTTTACAATGATGCTACTCGCACTGATGGCAAAGTGATGGATTTTTCTTTCTGTATCTAACCATGTAATTGGTCATCATTGGTAACCCGTCTGAACCTGTTTAGCGACCAATACCTGATATGCATGAGCATTCGTTCTTTACTTGCAATAGATGATTAGCTTTTGTGCCATTTGCCTGGCATGGTTAGAAGACTTGTATCAACAATATACCATCGAACCAACATACCGACCAATCAGATAATCAGAAATAATCAAAAATAAAAAAAGAGTTTCCGAAAGAATTTATAGAAACATTGATTGATGAAAAACTACAAGAAAATAGTTGAAAAGCCTGTAACACACACACATACAAAAGACACACGCACACACGCACACACGCACGCACGACACACGCAGAGTACGATAGACGAAAATAAATAAATATCCTGTTTAATAAATAAAAAGATCGTCTACTCAAATACGGGCAGCCACTAAACTAACGTTTAATGTGATAAAGATAGAGTTATATATGTGAGAGAAAGAAAGAGAGGGAGAGAGAACGAGAGAGTGACACATGGAAATAGAGTGAGTTAAACAACAGACAAGAGACGGACTGAAAATGATAGAATAAAGAGGAAGGGGGAGAAAGGGAAAGGGGAAAAGAGAGAGAGAAAAAGAGAGAGTTAAACAACAGACAAGAGACAGACTGGAAATGATAGAATAAAGAGGAAGAGGGAGAAAGGGAAAGGGGAAAAGAGAGAGAGAAAAAGAGAGAGTTAAGCAACAGACAAGAGACGAACTGGAAAAGATAGAATAAATAGGGAAAGGGAGAAAGGGAAAGGGGAAAAGAGAGAGAAAAAGAGAGAGCATAAACAGACAAGAGACGAACTGGAAAAGATAGAATAAAGAGGGAAAGGGAGAAAGGGAAAGGGGAAAAGAGAGAGAGAAAAAGAGAGAGTTAAGCAACAGACAAGAGACGAACTGGAAAAGATAGAATAAAGAGGGAAAGGGAGAAAGGGAAAGGGGAAAAGAGAGAGAGAAAAAGAGAGAGTTAAGCAACAGACAAGAGACGGACTGGAAAAGATAGAATAAAGAGGGAAAAGAGAGAAAGGAAAGGGGAAAAGAGAGAGAAAAAAGAGAGAGTTAAGCAACAGACAAGAGACGGACTGGAAAAGATAGAATAAAGAGGGAAAGGGAGAAAGGGAAAGGGGAAAAGAGAGAGAGAAAAAGAGAGAGTTAAGCAACAGACAAGAGACGAACTGGAAAAGATAGAATAAAGAGGGAAAGGGAGAAAGGGAAAGGGGAAAAGAGAGAGAGAAAAAGAGAGAGTTAAGCAACAGACAAGAGACGAACTGGAAAAGATAGAATAAAGAGGGAAAGGGAGAAAGGAAAAGGGAAAGAGAGAGAGAAAAAAGAGAGAGTTAAGGAACAGACAAGAGACGGACTGGAAAAGATAGAATAAAGAGGGAAAGGGAGAAAGGGAAAGGGAAAAGAGAGAGAAAAAGAGAGAGTTAAGCAACAGACAAGAGACGAACTGGAAAAGATAGAATAAAGAGGGAAAGGGAGAAAGGGAAAGGGGAAAAGAGAGAGAGGAAAAGAGAGAGTTAAGCAACAGACAAGAGACGAACTGGAAATGATAGAATAAAGAGGGAAAGTGCAGAGAGAAAGAAAGAAAAAGACAGAGAGAGTTAATCAAAAGACAAGAGACGAAGTGGAAAAGACGGATTAAAGTAGTAGAAGAGAGAAAGAGAGAGAGAGAGAAAGAAAGAGATTTAGACAACGGAAAATTAACGACTGGAAATGATAGAATAAAGAGGGGGAGGGAGAAGGAGAAACAGAGAAACAGAGAAAAACAGAGAGAGAAAGAGAGAGAGTTAAACAACAGACAAGAAACGGACTGGAAACGATAGAATAAAGAGGGAGAGGAGAAAGAGAAAGGGAGAAAGGGAGAAAGAGAAAAAGAGAGAGTTAAGCAACAAACAAGAGACGAACTGGAAAAGATAGAATAACGAGGGAAGAGAAAGAGAAAGAAAAAGACAGAGAGAGTTAAACAAAAGAGAAGATACGAACTGAAAAAGATGGATTAAAGAGGTAGAAGAGAGAGAGAGAGAGAGAGAGAGAGAGAGAGAGAGAGAGAGAAAGAGAGAGAGAGAAAGAGAGAGAATGAGAGAGAGAGAAAGAGAGAGAGAGAGAGAGAGAGAGAGAAAGAGAAAGAGAGAAAGAGAGAGAGAGAGAGAGAGAAAGAGAAATTTAAACAACGGACAATTAACGAACTAGAAATGATAGAATAAAGAGGGGGAGGGAGAAGGAAAAAGTGAGAAACAGAGAGAAAGAGTTAAACAACAGACAAGAGATGAAGTGGAAAAGATATTAGGTTGATGCAAAAATAATTTCGTTTTCTCACATATGTTAGAAAACGAAATTATTTTTGCACCAACCTAATAGAATAAAGAGGGAGAGGGGAGAGATAGGCAGACCCACGAAGGACTGGAAATGCTAAAATAGGAACAGATGGCTGGAAGGGGGGGAGACCATGTTGAGATCGATACATACTTACACAGCAATCATAAACAATTTATTCTGCTATATAAAACACAATGTTACTTGATATATTTATCGATCGCGCTGCCTGATTTCCCCTTTCTTAGTAATGCGATATTCTGTTGTTAACAGGAGACATCAATCAACATCAATAAACAATCATGCATTATTACCATAACAACGAAATACTTCATTAGCTCGTATGGAAAATCAAGCTTTTAATGTATTGCTTTTTGTTTTATCTTCTTTTTTTTCCGTGTTAGCATTCTTCCGTTATTTTTACTTTTAACTAGCCTAGAAGCCGCCCTTTGGACGGACTTTAGGCTAGCTCCTGTGGAGGATTTTTGAACCTTCTGCCTTTTATCTTCAGCATCCTTAAAAGTTATAAGAATTTAGAAATAATCAAATTATTTTATATTTATTCAACACCTTAATTCGGCAGAATCTTTCTTCGTATACGTAGTTTATTTATATTCATTTCGCGCGTAATTTTTATTTTCGTTTGTAATCACCATTCTTTATGTCCCTTCACGTAAAGCCATTCTTGAAAGACATTAGGGAACCCGAACTAAATAACATTTTGAATACGCCACAGTAAGCATGTTAGAAAAAGAAAGAAAAAACATATGAGCAACGTACCGTACTCCACTTAAGCTTCAATTACGGCTTAATTAGACGATATCAATTGCAACTGCGACGAAAAGCGAAATTAAAGTTAAACCTTTAATAAAGAATTGTTTTTTTTAAATTTTTCACTCTGTTCGATATTTAAATTTAACTTTAAATGATTTATTTAATTTTTAATCGCGTGTAACTACAGTAGTTACCACCTGTTACTTCAGGTTGGTTATGATTCACCGACGTCGAAAAATGGACGGGCAGACAGACAGTAGGTTTTATTTATATACAAAATGATTAAAAAACTTAATTATTTATTAAATTTGAAAAAAGAGTTACCTGTATAGGTAAAAACGCTAGATTATTAGCGCAGAAAAGATAGCCAATTCATTTATAGATTTACTTAAATATTACTCTCGTTTTTGACAGTGCGAGATTTGGAGGGTTTTTTTTTTTTCATTTTAATGATCACCGAAGTTAAGCAACGTCGGGCCTGGTCAGTACCTAGGTTAGTGTCCGCTTGGCAATACCAGGTGCTGTAAGCTTAGATGCATAACGGATAACGGCTCAGAATTGTTAATCAGAGCCGAGTTCCAATTCTGGTCGGGTTGGTTATATTCACTCACGCGAAAATAACCTTGGGAAAGGTATGAATCCATCTCTTCTTTCCCACCCCAAGTTATGGGTTAAATAGCAGGATAGACTGGATTCTATAGTCTTGGTTAGTAACCATTCCAGAGATGGCGACTCTGGGTCACACTCGCTGAGGTGCATCGACCCATGAAAACGTGCATTGAAACTGAAATTCTTCAACCGTGTGATGTGCGCATTCTGCCGCTGGCGGAGAAAGAGTTTCCTTTCCCGCCATTCGCCGGAGTACCATGTGACTTACTTAAAACTTCCTATAATAGAACTGCTTCTGAAACTATTTTGATATTACGGAAATTGCATAACACGGTCGATTAAATCAAAAAGAGAGCAATTAAATTCTGATATTTTTATGAGTGTTGAAATATTTAATCGAATTGAGAGATGAATTCGACAGCAATAAGAGGCAAGAGAAATCAAACTCGTCCAATTTTTAACGTATCTTTGCTATTCTTCTCCAATGTAACGTTTCCCTTCAGAAAATGACTGATCATGACTCTCCACAGCTTCGTATCCTTTTTAACTCATACTAATGTTTATCTCTATGATTATCTCCCCTAATCCCTGTTCTACCATCCATTTACATAAGCTCGTTAAGTAGGTTATTCGCGAAGATTAAAAAAAATAAATTGCAAATCAAATGATTAATTATTTGAAAAAAAAAAACCAATTATTTTGACACTTTACAATCTGTCGTCCTGGGTATGACGATAAACTACATCAGCGTCCAGGGTAAGACGATAAACTACGTCCAACAGCAAGGCCTCTGATCAGGGGGTTTTGACAAGTATTGAGCCACCTCTTAATTGCTGGTGTTCCCAGGTCCACCCTGACCCGGGGCGTTGCCACCTGTTAGGGTCCCAGCTATGGGCAAATAGTTAACCCCGAAACTGACGTAAAAAATCTTTATAAAAGTGTAAAAATAGGTTTCAATACTAGAAATACTTTTTAAAAATTTATTACAAAAAAATTTTTGAAGAAAAAAATCTGTTACCAGCAATATATTTTTGAAAAAATATTACCAGCAATACGATTTTGAAAATAATAATACCAGTTATACATTTTTGAGGAAAAAATGTTACCAGAAATAGATTTTTGACAAAACAAAATATTACCAGGGAAAAAAAGTTGTCGGCATTAAATAACCCATTGAGTTTGATATGCCGTAAAACAAACCAAACCAAACTTTACAATCTGCTTATAAGCAATCACATAATACAATAACAGCGCTCTTAAACATGTTAACGATATATATGAATGTACTGATGATTCAGAATTTCTTTTTCTTGTTCTGCTTGATTATTCTAAAGCTTTTGTGCTAACCATCAACTTATTCTCGCTAAGCTTGAGTGGATTTTGACGTACCTTAGTGGCCGATATCAAAAGTTATAACGAGTAGGGAGAAATTATTGGAATGAAATGCTAAAATGGAGTTCCTCAGGGTTCGGTCTTAGGCCCATTGCTTTTTACAATATTGGTTTCTGATATTTGTGCTTTTGTAGAGAAAAATGATATCCCAAGTATGCTGATGATACTCAATTGCATTATTCATGCAAATATGAAAAAAATGGAAAACCATTTCAAACATAAACGGTAATCTTGAACAAATTATGGATTATTCGAAAAGGAATTGTTTAAAATTAAACGCTGAGAAAAGTAGATTTATTTTAATTGGATCTCGTTGTAATCTTAGAAAGGTAAAATGTGATCAGCTCTATCCAATTATTATCGATAAAAGGCTGATCGAAAGGCTGTTTGTAGTGAACAATTTCAGTATTGCTTTCAATGAAAAATTGACCTGAACCAGGCAGGTAAACTTGGTCATTGCTAAGGAATATGGAAAGCAAAAAAGTGCATTATGATTCAAAGTGAACCATCAAAGCAAAAATTAATAGAAACGTATATTATCGCTCCCTTTAATTATGGTGATGTTCTTATGTAAAATGTAAGTGAACAGTTGCAAAATAAAATTCAAAAATTACAAAACAGATGTATTCATATCGCTTTCAATTTATCCAAATATGATCGTTTAAATGCCTTTTTAAAGGAAAATAACATTTTTAAATATGAAGAACAAGTGACTGCTACATAGCCTCGTTTTAATGTTCAATATAAAAAATATTAAAGCGACCATGTATCTGTTGAACCGTATAAAGACTCATAGTGAAATACTTTATATTTCACGAGAGATAAATGACAAATGGATACGCCCTGCTTTTGCTAAGACTAAACTAAGTCTTGTCTTGATATGTAAGAATCTGTCTATATTTCTGAGATGAAGTATTATGTACACTATTTAATTTATTCGGACTATTGTCCTCATCTTTGTCGCCATATTTATTGCAACGTTTCGGCCGTTGTACGCCCCGGTCTTCTTGAGGTGGTTGGAATGTTGAACTGAACCCTTTATTTCGCTCGCTGAGGACACATGGCACAGTGGATAAAGGCGTTGGTTAGATCCAGTAACAGGACCCAAAGAGTGTGAGTTCAATACTCGGTTAAGGCAGTGGAGAACTTGGAGAGAGGAATTAACAGGAGATAACTGACAACTGGCTTCCATTTGACGTCACGTGGAACTAGAACAGTCTACCCCAGTGAGTGAAATAAAGGGTTCAGTTCGATATTCCAACCACCTCAAGAAGGCCGGAGCGTATTTTTATTTTACTTCCTCTTATTCTCATGAAAAAATAAATTTGGGAGTTGGCCGGAAGAGTACCTTATAAGTTTTAAGTCTGTGTGTACTTTTAATCTGATAGTAAATAAAGATTATTATTATTATTATTATTATTATGATTATTATTATTATTATTATTATTATTATTATTCGCTGCCTTCCTCTGGCCCTCTGGACTTCAGTGTCCTGGGTGTGTCAGATTTTCCAAACCTTCTTTCCTCGTTATGTGACCTAGAAATTTCAACTCTCTCTTTATGATTCGAAGTAAAAGTTTCTTTTTACTATATATTTCCTTAAATCTTTTTTATTACTGATGGTATTCCCATCATCCTTCTGTAGAACTACATTTATTTTGAATCCGTTTTTTCTTCATTTATGAGGTGATTTATAATACATGACTGTTCAACAGGTTTTGCATCTAATGAAATTTTCCCGTTCGTTAATATCTGCTTAGATTTTGGAAGGCATCTTTTTTTTTTCTATTTCAGTGTGTCTTCGGATTTTGGTGTCACATTTTCCGTGCTTTGCTCAATCCTTTGCCAGATATTTGAGTTTTCGTATTGATTTTGGTGCTTCCAATTTGTTGTTAGTATCCTGTTCCTATCATTTATTCTGTCTTCTTACAATCACTGTTTAGTCGATTCTTCTCATTTCTTTAACTTTATCTAAAATATTCTGTGGTTTCTTTTCGGTATCTACTATTATTACCGTGTCATCTGCGTTTTGTTTCGTTTGCTTAACGACATATCAACTCAACCAAGAGTCATTTAGTGCAATTTTCTTGGGAGCTATTATGTAATGATATATGTTATTCTGCTTTCGCATTTGAATGCATGGTAGATGATACTCAGCATTTGCACATATTTATGTTTGTGTGGACATAATTACTAGAGGCGGTAATATATGTGTTTTATGTTATAGTTTTGTTGAAGTTATATTTTGGAATAGAGTTTCATTTCTTTCAGAAATTGGCAGTTATTATATGGATTAATGTCATGAAAGAATTCTTTCATGTTGGTTGCTTGGTTGGTTGGTTGGTCGATTTTGTTTACCGACATATCAACACCCCTATGGGTTATTTAATGCCAAAATCTAAATATTTTGAACTCAAATTTATGGCTTCATGTAATATATCAATATATTTTGAACGTAATTGTATGCTTTCAACTACAGGTAAAATGTATTGTTGGTCATTTTACTATAAATATGTATTGTTGGTCAGTTTAAAGATAAAAGTATATTTTTATATTTTCATAGTGTTTTGTCTTTGTTTGGGCGTTAACTATTTGTCCATAACTGGAACACTAACAGGTGCTATCACGACAGGTCAGGGTGGACCCGGGAACAACAGCAATAATAGCTGGTTCCACACTCCTCAAAATTTCCACTCTCCAGATCATGGACTTTGCTACCGGATATAGTTTATCGTCATACCCAGGACTAGCGCCATTTGCGTATTTTATATCGTTAAGATTGTGTATACCAATAACGATTTTATTCCTTGGGTAGCAACTATTATTTCCTATTTGCTTACGCCTAGAAACTATGAAAAATGTCTAACATTTCCTTCACATTTTGCTTTTTTGACCACGACAATGAGATTTCTGAAATTTATCAATTCGCATTGGGAAAACCGACAAATGTGAACATTCTCGTTTACGCAAAGTAGAAATAAAACGACATATGATTCAAAAGTAGTATTTATTTATACTAGGATTACACAAGAACATTCTCGTTCAGACAAAGTAGCAAAAAAATGACATGAATCAAAAGTAGCTTTTATTTATTCTAGGATTACACAAGAAAAGTCTCGTTCACACAAAGTAGGAACAAAATGACATATGATTCAAAAGTAGCATTTATTTATTCTAGGATTGTGTTAAGGGTTCCAGGATTACTAAGGATCGATAAGCCGTACAAAACGAATCAATCACTCAATTAATCCAACTGCAAGGAGGGCATTCCACTCCGAAAGCTTCTTGACAAGGACCGCTACTTTTTGGATCAAACTCCCGCTTGGGTGCTTCCCCAAGCAGTACAAACTTAACCACTTCATGTCAAGAGTTGGTCTTTACTTGTCCTCCATATCTACATAATCCTCAGTTCCTATTCTTACATTTATATTGTTTACGGTCATATCACGCTGAAACACCGGTTCTCGTACTGTCACCGAAGTTAAGCAACGTTGAGCCTCGTTAGTACCTAGATGGGTGAAGGCTTAGGAATACCAGGAGCTTTAAGCTTGGACGTACGCCTGGTGTAATGAAAAAATTTGAAATTCTTTTCTTCTCCCCCATCTATGGGTTAATTAGTGAGAATTTGGCTTCTATTTTGGAAAGCATCTTACGCTATTACAATGTGCCTTCGGATTTCCGTGTCGCATTTTCCATCCTCTGTTAAAACACTTCATAGATATTTAAATCTTTGTAATTGCTTGATTTTGGTTTTACCAATAATACTGTGTAACATTACTTACCTTGACTAGCAATTATTATTTCCTATTTGCTTACGCCTATAAAGTATGAAAAATGACTAAGAAATCCGTTAAAGTTTGATTTTCTAACCAGGATACTGATATTTCTCGAATTTACCTGTTCCCCTTGAGAAACTTGGCGAATGCGGAACATTCTCATTCATGGAAAGTAGAGACAAAATGACCTGATTCAAATATAGCATTTTTATTCTAGGATTTCAAAAAGAGACAACGAAGATTTTTTTTTCGCTATTTACGCTTATACTGTAAATTACATTCAGGAATCATCCTCCAAACGTAGTCTCCCATTATGTTTTTTGTTACTCAATCCTTGGTAGCGGTGTTCAAATCCAGTCTATCCTGGGGGAAACGATCGCCTCCCCATCTGTGTACACCCCCATGTTCGACTTGAATTTATCAAGATGATCGTCAAGAATATGGACTTTGAAGGACATCCTCCAGCCCATTTTGCCGTAGTTCTTCACCAGGGTCTCAAAAAGTTCCACATAGTTTTCGACCTTGTGATTCCACAGGAAGCCCCCGAACCACGACGACAAATTTGTTCCACGCTACTTTATCCGTTCTCGTGATATTCTCGGGGGAATTTTTTGCACTTTATGATTTTCTTTACTTCTAGTCCGACAAAAACACCGGCTTTGACTTTTGCTGAAGACAGAGAAGAAGTCTTGAAGGTATTTGAAGACTACAGACTCTTTATCTAGAGCTTTGACAAATTGTAACATAGGGCCCAATTTTAAGTGGAGTGAAGGAAACATTACTTTTCGGGTGTCCAACGATGATTTCCATTTGAGCTTGTTCCTCTCCACACTGAACTCGGTTTGCTGTTGCCAGTCTCGACTGTGGTAGTGTGAAGCAGTGTCCCTATTGTCTCAAATTAACACGGAAACTTGATAAAGCCGCTTTGAAATCGCATGAGGAAGGCCATCATTTTGAAGTCTCTGATAACCTCCCAACCAAATTCTTCGTATTTTATGCCATCTCGCAAGATCTTGACACTGCTGTAATCCTGTTGGAGCTGCACCAAGAGAGACAAGGGAAGAGATGGATACATGTTCTCGTTATGAAGCAGCACAGTTTTGGCGCTTCTGGATGAGCTGTCGATAAAGAGGTGCCACTCGCTGGAGTCACAGGTGATTCCAATTGCCTCGAACAGACCGGTTACATTATGGCACAATCAAAGCATATTCTGACGGCTGAAAAATTATGACTTTGTAAAGTCATCTTGAAGGCCAGCATTTTAAGACTTTCAGCTTACAAATTCCACTTCTTGAATCTCAACGTCAAAAGCTCGTCATTGGAATTTGTAAGAGCAAGAAATTTGATCAGATCCTTGAAGCTTTTTTTGGTTGCGATAGTATGGCTTTCAATCCTCATCCCCGCCTCTGTAATCTGGATAAATGATTCATCCTCTTATGAATTGTTGTTCTCTTCTGAAGACAGATGCTCTCTCTTTGGCGGAATGGGTACCAGGTGCTCAGGGCAGTGTGGAACAGCCCGACATTTAGAAGAGTCCACCATGCAAAAGCAATTGCGCGAGTGATCAATGGGTCCCCTCCAAATTCGTGGAATTGCGAATTTCATGGCTCTATTATGCTACACATATAGTTAAGCCAAAACACAACACACATGATCTGAAGATTGCACATTCTTGAAACAGACTGTCGCCGTTGCGTGTTAACCTCAATGTCCTATATATTTCAGTCGGCCCATACCTACTTATCCATCTATCTCTAGCGAGCTCGTCCAATCTATCTATCTATCTATCTATCTATCTATCTATATATATATATATATATATATATATATATATATATATATTTATCTATCTCAGTCATCCCTTGTCTATCTTTATTTCTGTCTAACAATTGGTTGATCTCTCCATACCTGTCTGCATCTGTAAAAAAAGTAAAATAAAAAGAAATAAAAATGTAAAAATATGATATCGATATGCACATTATATACAGTGTGTCCATAGAGTTCGTGTGCACTTTAAAAAACTTATAACTTTATTTGTATTTGCGAGAGAAATAATCTGAAAAAATGTTATAAAGTTTAATGTAGCTAGTTTTAATTATAGCTAAAATAACTGATTTCAGGCATTACTGTAAATTAATTGTCAAATGTTTTCCGTGAATTGCAAAATCGTATTACCCTTTGTATTGTTAATGATGGAGGACATGTGGAAACTTAAATAAAATTTCAATAAAAGCTTAAAAAATATTGATTTATAAATGTAATTAATACTGTTTAATTAAAAAACGGATCTTTTACTTGAAATTTCTCGAATTTACCTATTCCCCTTGAGAAACTTGGCGAATTATATCTATAAAAATAACGAATAAACAGAAAATATTATATATATATATATATAATATTAGTGGTCAATATATATATATATGTATATATATATATGTGTGTGTGTGTGTGTGTGTGTGTGTGTGTGTGTGTGTGTGTGTGTGTGTGTGTGTGTGTGTGTTACTTCAAAAATTATTATAGTAGATACTTCATAGAGTGGGAAAGTTTGAAAATAAGTTATTCTCACCAAGGCCACGTAAACTCTGTCAAGGCTGGAACGTGAGGATTGTGCAGCTCCAGCAAGATTTCATATTTGGTTTGATTTGGTAAAGAAAAGGAACTGTGTAATTTCTGGATTGGCACAAAAGACCGACCATATTAAAAATATTAGAAAAAAGGAGACATTGATTCGAAGGTTCACGAAGATAGTTCGATCCTCAGGATACGACCTTCATTGTACTTGAAAAAGAGAACCAGTTTTTAAGTAAGGGTTAGTGTGGAGTTCGAAGCTCAATTACTTCACATTACTGTGACCTTGTGCCAGACTATTTCAAAGACAGTATATATCTGTTTAAATTACCAGGAATGATCTCCTTGAAAAAAAAATCTCTAGGATAACATTTTATTGTTTGTGGATCTTTTTTTTCTTTTTTTTTCCATGAAAGCTTTTAAAGTGTCAAAAGTGGAAAAAAAAAACATAATTTGTTCTGATGAGTTCTTCGACATCAAATCTTTCATTTTCCGATCTGTACAAAGTGCACAGTAGGATTCGGGACGCAAATGATTACAAACGTTCCCAACCGATTAACATTTTCTGTGCCGTGCAAGAAAATCCTGCCATTATTGTCCACAATGCTATCAATCTGAACGAAACAGACGGAGAACCTGTATCGATTTACTTTCGCTATTAGTTACCGATGAAAAGCCCAGGAAGGTGATTAGGCCGGCCTGCATGGCTGGCCGGTGAGTTTATTGTGACGACTAATTCCTGGCCTCTCTGATGAAAGTGACAACATTCCATTATTTATTGGAGAACAACAGAAGCGGCAGAAGAATCCGTAACAGGGAGAAATCTTTGATGTATGGGCAACAGATTAAAGGTTACAATCTTAGCAATAAGCTAATAGGGAGGCTTTTTTTTTAGAGTTAGGACTCATGATTTTCTACCAAAATTTGTTTTAGGGAGTTATCAATAAGACCTAAATCAGTTCAGTTTTCCTTTGTAATTCAGTCAGTTAAGAAGCCATACCCGATACACGCTTGGATGATTGTGTTCCTTTTGATTCATAAATGACTAGGAAGATATTCCTGCAGTAGTGAGTTCTCTATAACAAGTGAAATGCTAAATGATCATATATATATATATATATATATATATATATATATATATATATATATATATATATATATACTAGTAAAAAAATCTTATAAGTATAAGAAATTATCCTCGTCCGAAAACCTTCGGTGTCTTGATTTGCAAATAACCAAACCAATACCAAGTCCAAAGTCCAAAGAAAAAAAAAACGATACGAGTAAGCAAAATAAACTAAATAAAATGCTCAATACGTTAAGTAGAGCATACCTAGTTAAGTCTAGAGAGCCAGACAAACCTACCAAGTTTTCACCGAAGCGGATCCTCAGGGAAGCCTTCCCTGACGATCAGGTTAGGTGAAACCTTGGTAGTTTTGTGTGGCTCTCTAGGCTTAACTATATATATATATATATATATATATATATATATATATGAGTGAACATTGCAGAAACACTCAGAGGCGACAGGCTGTTTCATGCTAGTGGCCGGACGATTGGGCCTAGCATAAAAACAGCCTGTCACCTCTGAGAGTTGACTGCTATGTTCACACTTATATTTATCTTGTATCTTTAAAGAGGTTACAAACAGACAAAGGTGGTACTCGAGTCGAAGGAACAGTAATAGATAAAAGAAAGAGAGGTTTATTATAAAAGAGAATACACTACTGAAAGACAGGGATTCGGTTAGCAGGCTAATAATTCCCGAAGAAATTCTCAGGTATATCCTGTGCACACTATATATAACTACTAATATATAACTACTAATATAGTCAGTCCATAATAGGCAATAGGGATAGTGGAACATTCCATTACAACACCCCCGAGCTAATTTCCCCTGAGATTTTGCTCAATACCTCTTCTTTTGTGGGGGTCAAGATATAACTGTTTGACTTTTTTTCCTCTTCCTCGTACTTTTCCGCCTCAGTAGTTTACATACGCTCTATCTCTGATATTGAGGACTTTATCCCATAAATTTAGAACACCTTAAAACTATATTTCTTCATATATATATATATATATATATATATATATATATATATATATAGAGAGAGAGAGAGAGAGAGAAAGAGAGAGAGAGAGAGAAAAGGATAGAGATGTAGCCGGAAATGCTATACTAACAGTTTCTTTTCTCGCAT